TGGCCTCCGCTGCGCAGAGAGCTGGATCTGCAGCCGATAGGGCTGCTTGCCGATGCGCAGCTCGCCGCCGATCTTGAACTCGCGCTTGCCGTAGCGGCACCAGGCGGCGAAGCTCTCGGAATTGCGCCAGCTCAGCTCGCGCTCCTTGGCGCCCACTTGCGCCAGCGCGTTGCGCACCACGGCGCTGGGGCTCAGCGGCTTGTAGCGGTACAGATCGTTCACCACGCGGCCGCGCCGGCCCTGGCTCGCGTCCGTCAGGAAGCTATTGCTCACCTCCAGCCGGTGCAAATGCACCACCTGGAAGTTGCCCACGTAGACAGCCCAGTGCGGGTACTGCGCCTGCGACACGAACTCCACCAGGTCACCAGGCCTGCACTTGTTGAGCAGGTTCTCGGGAGTGTAGGTGCTCAGCGCAGCGGAGCCCGGGGCGAAGCTTTTCTGGTAGATGCACTCGTCGCGGTAAAACACGGAGCACTCCACCTCGTGCAGCCGCGGGTCGTAGGGCTGTGGCGGGGGTAGTGCCGGCCCATCCCCGCCGTCGGGCAAACAGCCGCCACCGCCATCCAGCCCCTGGGGTGGCGGCTGCGGCTCCACGTCCTCGTCGTCATTGGAGAAGATATAGGAGACCCCGATGCGGGGCCCGTCGTCTCGGTCAACGCCCATCGGGTCGGCTGTGGGAACTTCCTTATAACTTAGGTGGGTCAGTTTCTCCACCTGGTTGCCCATCACGCTGCAGACACACGTTCACACCGCCGAGACAGGAGAAAGCGAAACCACCACTAGGGTCATTGGCACAGGTGCCCGGACAGGGGCTGAGACCACCTGTTGGGAGAGGAAGGCAAGGAAGCCATGTAGGAGCCCCTCTGTGAAATGAGCGTTTTGTTCTTAAGAGGAGGTAGAAAGGTTGCGGGCCGGGAACCTCGAGCCATTTTACGGGGAGTCTCAGATATAGCGAGCTTTGCCTCATTTTTCCACCTCCAGGGTCACGGTCATAGGAGGCCAGGCAACTCCAGCTCTTCCCAGCCCCCAACCCTTCACCTCGCCTGGGCAAAAGCCCATTGCATCAGCGACTCCTACCGCTTCCGCCAGCGCCTTACCTGCCAAGCCCAAGCAGGAGGGAGGTAGGAAAAGAAACTTTACTCCAATTCCCCTTTCCAGACCCCTCTTTCACGCCAGGGCCCTATGTTAGCCCCTGAGACGCCCCCCTTCCCCCATCCATTGCCCACAAAACCGGAGAGGATCCCGCAGCGCGGCCTGGGCAGGTAAGCCGCTCTACCTGGCTCACCTGCGGTGCTTCTTCCTCCCCTCTCTCCTGCCCCTCCCCCGCGCGCCCGCCCTCTGGCTCGGGTTACCTGCGCAAACTCACCCGCCGAGAGGTGGAGGCCGTGGGGAATGGGGAGGGGCCCCCCGCCGCACCCACAGACTTCTAGGGCGAGTTTGCAGGTGTGGGCTCCGCAGTCTCTCCTCTCCGGGCGCGGGCAGCTGGGAGGCTGGGCAGTGGGGAGCGGCGCATGTCTTGCCCCCGCGGCTACGTAGCTCCTTAAGACTTGAAGGTGGGAAGGTGTGCCTCTTCACACCGCACCCCTTCCCTCCTACTGGGGTTGCTTCTCCCCCTCCACCTGCTCTCCGGGGAGGTGGGGCTGTCTCGAAGCAGGAGAAGGAAGCAGCCTCGGTGCCCGGCGGCGGCAGCTCCCGCTCGGGCCGGGCGAGCAACAAGCGCCGGAGCGGGAGGGACGGGATTGTAGATCCGGCTCCGGGCTCCCAGGGCGGGAGCGCAGCCCCTGGCATTTAAAGAGACAGGCGCTCTCTGCCGGAGCCCGGGTCTTTCCCACACGGCGCAGAGCCCCGGGCGGCCCCGCCCCTCCCCGCCCACCTGGGCCACCGGGCTCCGCCCAGGCCACGCCCCCGCTACGGAGCGGGTTTAAATCCCGCTGTAACTAACCACGGGGCGGGTTGGACTGGCAGGATATGTGTGGTTGTGTGCTCCAAATCAGTGGGAACCCCGCTTGCTCTCTTAGAGCAAGGCCTTGTTGTGGGGTCCTCACTGCTTGCTCAGGTCTTTTTATTTTTTTTCTTATGAGCTATGAGCTTTAAAAAGAAGTTGGAAAGCAAACGTCACCTACCAGTGTAGAGATGACAGAGGAATTCAGAGTTTGGTGTTTGTTCCGTTTCCCCTTCACCTCTTCATTCCCAGAGTGCCTGGGGAGGGAGGAACAGCCATTAGGAAACAAGCAGACTTTTATTTCTTTCTTCTCTTTCCTAGAACCCATTTCTTGGCAAAGGTCACAGGAAAGAATTTTTTACTAGGACAGCTGGAGAAGTGCTTCAGTTTAGAGGTATTTTCAGAATAAGGACTGTGAAACTTTCAGGTAGGAGAAAAAATTCACAGAAAGGAAACAGTATAAACCAGAACAAAGGCTTAGTTACCAACTTGCTTCCAAGACCAGAGCTCTATTTATTAATGCCCCTCGAAGTTAGCACAAAGTTGATTTTGTAACTTACATTGTTGTTTTGAGAGTACCCAGTTCATCAGATAGTGAAAGAAAGCATTCAGCTCTGGTTTTCCTCTGGGGTAGAGGATGTAGGAATTGCCTAATTGTCTTTAAATTAAGAACATATAAGCTGAGGCCCTCGGTGGATATATTTCCTTCCTGCTGACTTACAGAAGGAAGTGACAGGAGACCAGTATTGCCTATTAACCTCCACTACAAGAGGGCACTTCCTCTCTCTCCCCTCCATGCTGATTATGTTTCTTGTACCTAAAGTGGAAGCCACCAAAGTGTTTTTTCTTGTGTGTGTGTGTGTGTGTGTGTGTGTGTGTTTAATAATGGATCAGGCTTTCATTGGAACACCCAAAGTAATTCTTGGTGAAATTAAGAATGCAACTCAAGACCTCCTCTGCACTGTTTTCCATCACTGTTTCTCTTGACTACATTTTTCCAGGTAACACTATTATTTATTCAGTGTGTATACTGACCAGTGGAAACAGTAATACACTAACACTAGTGTGATCCTTTTTAGTTTGAGGAAAAAAAGAAATCAATCTACTTAGGTACTTTTGAGCCCCAACAATCAATATTGGCAGGGCTGTGATGGAAGTTAGTCCTTCAGCAAGTCTAAGATCACAGTATAAGTTAGACCAAAAAGAGACTTCTGTGTGTCTGCTCTGTAGATTAAATTTAAGTATTTTCTGACCAGCCTCAGACATGTGTGACCAGTTGAGTCCACCCTGAACTTTTTGATAACACATGCCTTGGAGCTCCTGTTTTACCTGAATGGTATTTGCCACCATCATGTGAGCTCATGTAGATACCCATTTTTCAGGGAGGAGTTAGGCTGAGAGAGGAAATGGTGAGCCATCCCATGTCTGTTAGACTGGGAAACCTCTGCTGCCATCAGCTGCGGTAGGCCACTTTGCCCCTAGGTGGTACTGAGTCAGCTGCCTGTGATAGAAGAATCCATATGAGGACACAGCAGTGTGGTGGCTGCTGCCCACGCTCTGGGACAAAGATCTAGTGAGTAAGGAAACATCTAGTTGTCCAGGTGTCTGTCCTCTTGCCTTGATGAGCTCTGTTCAGGTACACAGTATGGCTCAACAACAGTTCTTGAACTGACCAACCATAAAGTCTCAGAGGGAACAGGCTCGAGTCATCTTTATATTCCAATGCCTGGCATTCAGTAAGTTCTCAACACATGCTTGATGGACACTGAGGAGAATTCTTGGCCATATCTATAGCCTGCCTTCTGTGTAGATTTTTCCATTAATGCCTGTTTAGGGCCCATCTGCCATCTGATCCCCTAGGGCCCTTGATCAGAGGTTATAGAATGGCTCCCAGACATGCTTTCCTTGTCTCAAATACTTGTTTCATAAATTTAAATTAACTGTCAACAATTTGGAAACTTGGGGGATCTCACATAAAAATTCAGATTTCCGGCTTCACTTGAAAGCGCTAATGATGAGACCATAGGGCCGACATTCCAGGATGGCAACCAAAAGCCAGAGCTGAGCAGCAGTTGTCTTGGAGATGAGATGTAGCCTCCAGTTGGCCCCAGTCCCTGTCCTACCCATCTCACCTACCTAATTCCTTGACTGGCCCTGGGAGCCTCTGTGTTGGCCACCTCTGCCATCTAATTTCTACAGTACACATTGTATCACTTGATTAGATGTAATTCAGCACTTCATCATATACTGTCTAATACTATTAATTCATGTATCTAAGATGCCTTTTTAAAGAGAGCTTGATTTAAAATATATTTCTTGAAGACCTACTAGGTACCTGTTAGTCTTATGTACCACACATTAGTTCTACAATTAGAGTAGGCACTGTGTTAGGTTTTGTAGATATTCATGTCCCCGTAGATCTCAGTGTTGTGAGGAGACAGAGAAATAAATAGACTCCTTAGGACAGTATGACATGTCCTGCAGGAAGGGGAAGTGAAGGATGCTGAGGGGAAGTTTCAAGATGTGTGGATGCAAAGGTGAATGTTAAAGTGACTGCCATCAGGGGGCTGGACTAGTAGGGTGACACAACTCTAAAATTAACAATGACAACTACCACCGAGTCAGCTCTTAATTCTGTTATAAAGGACAATTAATTTTAGAGAGGCTAAGTGACTTTTCCCAGCTGGTAAGTGGGACCATCTCACAGGTCTGCTTGGCCCCAGGGCCTGTGCTTCTAACCACTTTGTTATAAAAAGAAAGACATTCTTCAATAGTTGACTAATATTTGAATGTCTGGTTTTACTGGGCTCCAGAGATAAAGCTTCGGACTCAGTAGACTAAGTCCCTTCTCTTAACAGCTTTTATATGTTGATGGGAGGAGACAATTGACAAGTTTAAGTAAATGAATAATAATTTCTGGGCGAGATTAGGGCCACAAAGAGACTAGACTAGGGTAATGAGATTCGTAACTGTTGCTACAGAGAGGAGGTGGGGAGTGGCCTACTTTGGATAAGTTGGTCAGAGAGGGACTCCTGAGGAAGTGAACTTGAGCTGAGACTTGGAGGATGAGAAGGAGACTGCCTTGGCCTTCCCTCCACAGGGGATACCAAGAGCAAAGGCCCCAAGTGAGAAGGAATTGGGGTATTTAGGAAAAAGGAAAAATACATGGTTGCAAGTGAGAGGGGCTGAGATAGGGGGAGCAGTTGGAGCAGTGGGAGAGCCTTGGGGGTTTAGGGTGGCCACTCTGGCTGCCCTGTGGAAAATGGACTGTAAGGGATGAGAGAGGAAGCCGGCCCCATAAGTGACCAGGCTGTGGGGGAAGGGCATTCCCTGCAGATGGAGCCTGGTAAACAAAGGATAAAACTGTGAAGGCACCTTCCTTAACAGCAGCCATAAAATAATGTTAGAGTTGAATTGTCAGCCACCAACTCCTCCAACCAGTGACCCAAGTGTCACGTCCTGCAAACATCAGAAGAGGAGGCATTCAATAAAAACAAGCTGTGTTGCATGCCAGCTGGTCACTCTCACAGTAATCCTTTCCAGAGCAGTGAGGAATAATTGAGAATTGATGTTTCTACCTGACAGAGCATTGGCCCTGACTCTGCAGGTGTGAGTGAGACCTTGGTTTAAGTGGCTCCATCCAAGAATGTACAAAACAAGAGTAGGAGGGCAGAATTATCTGATTAGGCGCCTGAAGCTCTGCCCACTCCCGGGGCTGGGCTCCAGGCTTATGGTGGGCCTAGATAGTTGAGTGAGTTTGCTGGGAAACAGGTTCCTCCACACCTTCCTTATGTTAGGAAACTCCCAGACTGACCTGCGCCTGTTACCCACCGCTGGGGTTTTGTTGAGACACAGAAGGTGAGCGGGAGCAGAATGAAAACATGACCTGGGGTGGTGTCCTGTTCGCCAGGTCTATGCCCTGGAGCTGTCCCTGACCCACTCTGAGCCTCCTTTTCCAACCTCTAAAGTGGGGCTGAGGCTACTATTTGCCTCACTTGGGAATCCTCACACGAGACAGTGAGTGTCCGTGGAAGTATCTTGAAAATCCTGCGGGCTGTGTAGACGTGTTATTTACACCCACCGAGCCCTGGATTCGAGCCATGTTAGAGCCAGATAATGATTTTTAACATGGGAAGCAAAAGGATAACCATTGTTATGGGCATCATTTTACTAAATCTCCACACCAATCCTGTTTTGTTTTTTTTTTTTTTTTACATTTCCCAGATAAGAATAGAAAGGCCCGGGGGTAGGAATTTTACCAATTCTAAGTAGGAGAAGCCGGATTCAAATCCAAATCTGGCTGGCTCCAAGTCCATATTTCACGCCCCGTCAAGCTGCTTCAGGAGTGCCAGCACTTGTGTCATTCATCCAGACACAGGCC